TGTATGGTGTAAATAGAGTCCTGGGAATAGATGTGAGTGGATTCTTCTGTGCAGCAGTTTTTATAAAAGCTGACCAATTTATTCTCTGCGGTGGTAGCAACTGTTAATGAGATTGATGGATTTGTAGGGAGGATACCGGGGTTTCTATTCCCGCAATACAATATCCTTGACACCTAAGGTTGTAAATGATATCCACAAACGTGGTGGGACAGTTCTTGGAACATCACGCGGAGGCCATGTCACCAAAAAGATAGTTGACAGCATTCAGGACCGTGGAATCAATCAGGTATGAACAATAAATATGCCTGAGCTTTTATTTTGCATCTGTTGCCTGATCCTAGAACCCATGCTGTCATTGATGTAGGTATATATTATTGGAGGAGATGGGACGCAAAAGGGGGCTAGTGTTATTTTTGAGGTATGTCTAATTGATGTGACGGTGAATTTGGTTTTTCCTAGCCTCTGATCTGTGTGACTCAAGAATGGCTGCTATCCTTCAGGTGTCGCTCTTCCTTTTCTCAATCCTTTAGTAAATTAGATCTTTTACAACTTATACCGTCGTCCATTCCTCAGGAAATCAGAAAACGAGGTCTTAAAGTTGCGGTTGTCGGTGTCCCGAAAACCATTGATAATGACATTCCGGTAATTTGTTTGTAGGTTAAGAGTGGCTGTATCAGCGTCCTTCTACACATTGTCGCTGACTTTATAAATTCCAGCTCATTACCAGTTTATCAGCACTCAGAATTTTGTCTTCCTCTTTGCAGGTTATTGACAAATCTTTTGGTTTTGATTCTACTGTGGAGGAAGCTCAACGTGCTATTAATGCTGCACATGTGGAAGCAACAAGTGTTGAGAATGGCATTGGTGTTGTGAAGTTAATGGGACGGAACAGCGGTAAGCTTCATACCAGAATTCGATGTTTCTTTGGCGAATACATCAAATAATCTGTACTCTTTTGCCAAACAATCTTGCATTAGAAAATGCAAGAAAAGGTCCCCTTAGTCAAGACCTCAGTGTGCAAATGATAATGAGCTGCAGTGTAGTGTAATATGCAAAGTTGGAGTACATGTTTTGTAACACATATGGCACTAATTGGGGTTGGGGCATCATTTGGTTTTCCCGCCGAACATTCACCTTTTCTTCACGGTTTGCCATCAGATTATCTTCACTGTTTATATTTCCAGAAGGATCATCATATTTTCCCAACAGCACATCATGTTATGCTCTGTGAAATTGCTTGTGTAACATTCTCAATGGTCTTTAATGCAGGGTTCATTGCGATGCATGCGACTCTTGCTAGTCGAGATGTCGATTGCTGCTTGATTCCCGAATCACCATTTTATCTTGACGGTCCTGGTGGACTTTATGAATACATTGAGAAACGACTCAAAGAGCAAGGGCACATGGTAATTGTGATAGCAGAAGGTGCAGGGCAAGAGCTACTCTCTCAGAGTCTGCAATCTACCGATCAGCAGGATGCTTCTGGAAATAAGCTTTTACAAGATGTTGGATTGTGGATATCTCAAAGCATCAAGGTATGGCTTCTGATGCATGGTTCTGAACTGATTATTTGCTGCATTTAGCAATATAGTTCTCATAACTAGGAATTAAGGTTTTGATTGTAATCAGGGGCTCTTTAAAACTAAAGTAGTAAATTATGTTGGTGCATTTAGTCATTGTTTGTGCTGTGTAAATTAGTTTGACTGAGCTGAGAAAGTCATGGCTCTCTCTTGCAGAATCATTTTGCTAAAGAACAGAAGATGGCAATTAATCTCAAATATATAGGTTGGTACCTTGAAATTTCCCCTTATATATGATAAAAATTACTACTAGTATATTCTTCTCTGAAGTCTGACCAAGTACTTCGCTGGATCTGCGACAGATCCCACATATATGATCCGAGCCATTCCTAGCAATGCATCAGACAATGTTTACTGCACTCTTCTGGCTCAAAGTGCTGTTCATGGAGCAATGGCAGGGTACACAGGCTTCACAGTAGGGCCTGTCAATGGCAGGCACTGTTACATACCATTCCATGTAAGTCATATTGTTGCATTAAAATGCTCATGATTCAAATAAATAATCATTAGGCTCAGGTTATAAACATTTTAGTTGTCCATATATAGTGATTTGACACCTGTTACATATGTTTGCTTACCCTCTAAAATCCATCTTATCATCATCGATGTCCTTATACAAACAGCACTGCACAAAGCAGCACTGCAAATCCGGATGCTGCAAGCCCCTTAATATGGTTTTGCTTTTTAATCCTTGAAATCTGTCTGTTCTCCAGACCACAGGCCTAGACGTGCGTGCATAGACACCACTTTAGCTTTCCTCATGTCTGATTCAGTAACTATTTACAAGGCTTTTTGTTGAATGAGGACCTTATTTGTTGGATTCCAATAGTTTCATTCAATGAAGATTAGCGTGAAGTGGATTGTGTCTTTAGAAGATGAGCATGACATACGACACATTAACCAAAAATAAAAAAGGACGTGCATGAATGCTGAGAACTATACACGAATACTGATAGGATGCTCTTTTGTGCACCGATGCAGAACAAACTCTTTTAGTTATAGGATGCTGATAGCTTTTGACTGCCGTGTTTCTTTATGATATGATTTGATCTTACTTGTGTTTATAAATGACGATGAATTGCTGCCTCCTCTGGATGGAATCTGCAGCGAATCAATGAGAGACAGCACAAGGTTGTGATAACGGATAGGATGTGGGCTAGACTTCTTTCATCAACGAATCAACCAAGCTTCTTGACAAGAGATATAATAGAAAATGCCAAGAAAGACAAGGAAGAAGTAGTTCCTGGGTTGCTGGATGAGAATCCCATAAACAGGAAGAAGGTCGCATGTTGAGCTGCACCGAACCTGATGCGTTGCGCGCGATGTACGGCAGAAGTTGTATTGCACTTGGCATTATAACCATTGAGTTCAGCGACTAATTGGTTCCAAACAAACCCACCCAAATTGAGATCCTTCCTTCCTATTGGAGGTGTGCTAGCGGAATGTAATTTTGTGCTATAAATAAGAATGGGAACAACACAACACAACACATATAATTATATTCGTTTTCTTTCTCATTTTATCGAGCGGATGCTTTATTTGGGCTTGGCTAATCGTGAGACTAGAGCCCAGTTGACTTTTGAGCAACAAAGTATGCGGATTGTATATTTGCCCTTTAAGCACAAGTAAGTTCTACATCCCCCCCCCCCCCCCCCCCCCCCGCGCGCACACAAACAATAAAATAAAATAAAAGCGTCAATTGTGCCATGAATTGGAGTAATTGGGGGTTTTTTTATAAAAAAAAAAATGGTTTTGTTAGGAAAAATTTCGAAAGAGGGAATCGAAAGATTAAAAATTTACAAGTAATGTTGTAAGTTTTGTAAAATTTATAAATGAGAGCTGGTTATCAATCACGAATTAATATAACTAATAAATTTATTGCTAAATGATTAAATTACTCTCGTAACATTTTGCATTCTATGGAAGGAAAACATGCACCTTAACGAATAAAAATAATGTGTATACCTTGATGAGTATATGTGTTCATCCAAATATGCAAATTTAAACGATATGAACACACATGCATATATATACACACATACATAATATATATTTTAATGTGCGTATACAAATGTATGCTAATACGTGCACATAAAGATAAATTTGTAATTTTACTTAGAACAAAAATATTTTGATAATTTATGAAAACTAAACCACATTATGTGTAGTGATAATTTATGTCCATCCCTCTTTTTAAAAAAAAAAAAAATTGGAAAATTTCCGTTTCAGTGACTGAGTACTGAGCACCGCCCCACCCCCGGGGCGGTCCCAAAAAAAAAAAAAAAAAAAAAAGGGCAAAAGTAACATGACAAGCAACAGTAAAGCAAAAGGGACTTCGGACCGACACAGGGTCCAAATTCTGAAGCATCCAAAGGCAAAGACCCGACGGAGAGCAATCAATCAAATTAAAGAAGAAGCCTGCGGCGGGTTCCGGTTCCATCCGCCAGCCAACTTCCCGTTTTCTTCCTCTTCTCATCATCTTTTTGTTGAGATTTAAATTAGCTTTTACTGAATAATAATAATAAGAATGGGGATAAGATTCATACTGATGGTGAACAAGCAAGGGCAGACAAGGCTAGCCCAGTACTACGAGTACCTCACCATTGAAGAAAGACGTGCCCTTGAAGGCGAAATCGTCCGCAAATGCCTCGCTCGCACTGAGCAACAGGTTCCCCGCCTTCTCTCTCTCTCTCTCTCTCTCTCTCTCTCTCTCTCTCTCTTATTGATTTATGCATTATTAGAATTGATTTCTTCGATGACTTTTTAATGGGGTGTCCTTTGGCTCAAATTCTCGACGATGATTCCTTTCTGCCTTTAAAATCTGTCTTCTGGAATTCCATTATTAATTTGTTAATGATGCAATCATCTGTGTGTTTCTTCGGGGATACACCCAGTTTCTTCTTCTTTCTTTGTTTTTCATTACTGTTTGTCTGCTAGAGAAGATGAAAATGTTGATCCTTTTTCTGATTCCTCTCTCCTGTGCTTGTAATCTTCTCTCGATTGTAAAGTCCACGCCTTTTTCTGATATCAGCTTACGGAGTACTTTATAGATTTTGTGATTGCTTCTTTTACTGATTTCACCTGCAAGCTTGGCTCTTTCATCATTGGAAAATCAGCTGTCTCCACTCCATTCCCCTTTAGATCAAGAGCAGCTAATAGAATCTGATGTTTTCTGGCCAAACTGAACATAGCTTTTAGTGCCATTTGTAATGTTCATCATTTGGTGGACTGCCCAAATACCCTCCCCCTTCCAGACCCCCTCTTTTTTATCACAGAATTGTTGTTTATTTTTGCTAGTTTTGATGCTATCTGAATCTTTGAGTCATTTTGGTCCCTACTTTGTTAATTGATTACAGTGTTCATTTGTTGAGCATCGGAACTACAAGATTGTTTACCGGCGATATGCATCCCTTTTAAAGAAACGATACATTCAGCTAGCAACTATCCACATCAGCTTCAGCAAAACTTCCAGCTTCAAAGGATTTGAGCTAAACACAGAAAGTCGAAGAAAAAAATGTATAGCATTTATACTCTGGGAGGAACAATGATAGAAAACTTACACAATTTCTATTACTTCCTTAGGTGGCGAATGATGAAGATGCCAGGGTTCCCAAAAAGTGTTGGCTCCCATGAAATACATTCTGTGCACATGACTTTGTGACTCCTCAGTTCGATTGGTTTCTAAAACCTAAGACAACAAACATTTATCATGCTTAGGATACCCAAATGATGAAGATGGCAAATTATGTACAAGTTAAGCATGAATGCAATTGAAACAGAAGAAGCATCTGAAATGAGGACAGCAATATTAAAGCAAACCCAACCTCATTCAGTGACTCTAAGAAGGGGAATGAGCGATCAATTGGTGAGGCCCGGCGAGTAGGCACACGGTCTGGTAATTCATCTGCGCAGACAAATTTCATCCTAGCTATGCTTAAAACGAGAGCTAACAGAACAAGGAGACTTAGGAGGATAAAACCGAATAACCATGGTCCACCAAAAGCATACATCAAGTCTTCAAGGGCTGTATAACAGTTTGGCATGTGATATCTATCCGAGACACACATGTATGGGCAAGGCGTTTCAGTAACACCTCCTGTATAAAAGTGAAAGTCATAAGAAGTATGTACAGCCATGTAAAAAAAGTAGTTCAATGAGTTCACTAATGCATATCATGTTTCAAAATTTACATCATAATACTAAAAATGTCAAAACTAAAAGACAGAATGTTAAACTATATTGTATTACACATCTTCGAGTCAACGAATGCAGACAGGCCAGGGAATCTTCAATTGAAGGAGAAAAAGGGAAGAAAGGTTGCATGATTGCATTGCAAGCAAATGGAACACCAATAATAATACCTCGAACAGCAACATATGTAGCACGTCGTGGAAGCTCATGAAATGGGCATTTATGACAAAGGGCTTGATCAGATCCACTTACATTCTTGTATGTTCCAATTGGGCATTCCTGTACCATTTTAAAAATTGAAAATGCAGCTTTACAGAATAAACCAAAAGAAACACCAATACAGTAAAACTAGTTAGGGCTGAAATCGAAGATGTGGGATGTCCATCATGACTACAAGGCAAGAAATAAGTGCTCAAAGATGGTGGGTAAGTTTAGGCATCAAAAAGCAACTTGATTTATGCATTAGATAAACAGCACAAAGATGATCACCTTGACAGTTTGAATGAACATGAGGAGCCATAAGATATGAAAATTAATTCCAATTGTAAGTGTCAAAAGGCTTACCAAGAATTATCTAGAAAATGTGAGAGTGTATTTGACAGAGCCACTCATTGAAGTTGAAAGTGTATTTCAAAGAGTTTCCTATTATAGTTGAAAGTGTACTTTGTGCAGAATCCAACTTTAGGTGTTCAAAATTTCATTGTTCTCTAAGCACCCAAGAGAACCAAGTTTAGCAAAAGCAGCAACGAACCTGACAAAATATCCCATACAGCCCTTTTGGGCATGCTTTTCCACTGACTGTTCCATTTTCCCCATTTTGACCCATACCTCGACCAAATCCTCCTCTGCAATTCCATCATCAGACATGCACCCCGTTAGTAGCGAGCACAGTAGAAGACAAAAGAATTTCCTCCAGAATATTGGAAGATACACCCTTTACTCCTTTTTTTTTTTAACACCCAATGCCAGTTGAAAACTACATCAAAAGAATCCACTGAACTCTGGTATTTGAAAACTTGGAAAAAAGACTTAAGTTCAAAGACCTATAATCTTATGCTGAAAAGAATAGTTAAACTTGAAGTTCTTAGATTAATTTTCCAAAGGTTCAAGCTCCCTTTAGAAATCCCTCAAATCAAATTCAGGTGGAAATAACAAATCGTACTAAAAAAATCCAAGGGTTAAATGTTAATAAAACAGTAATCAAAGGAGCATGAAGGGTTCAAAACAAACCCAATATTGATGGTTCCTTTTACAATAGCTGCGGGCAGATATTCATCTCCCATGGACATGTCTGACCAATGAAAGTGAACCCTTCCACCACCTCCACCACCACCATTACTACTGCCCAATCCCCCAACAACTGAAATGGCAGAGGAATCACCAAGTGCCAAATTATGAAGAAATAGAAGAATGGTTCCTCCGGATCCACCCCCACCACCTGCTTCTGAAATGGTCTCACCCTCTAGCTTTCTACTATATTTTGCCTTGTTCTCTCCATTTGCTTGAAGTGAACCATAGACAGACAAAAGTGACAACGAATGCTCCAGTGAACCCATAACTGACACAAGAAAGCGAGAATCAAAGGATTATCAAGATGCGTTCAATCTAAGTAACCTGAGCATGGCATGTCAATGGCCAGAATTCTACATCAGTTTGCAAAAATAATAAAGAATATTATATGTGAATCTATTAAAAAGTGTAACTAGTGAGTGACAAAAAACCACCTGTGGTCTTCTTAACAAAACTTTTTAACTGTATAAAGTGAGGCAATACCTTGAGACATTAAGATGGAAAAGAAAAGGATCAATGCTGAAAGGGCAATCAATCAAGTTTAACATATCGCATGTAATATTCAGAACTAAAAAAACAAAAAAAAGCAAAAAGCACTAAGCTCAGATAGAGAGAGTGAGAAGACACAACTGGACCTTCCACTAGTCCCTCTCAATTAAAAAAATGCAAATGTGAAATATTCTTTTTGACGGTCTAAATGTGTTAAAAATGCAACTGATGATGAAAAACAAACAACACTATGAAGATTCTCATCTATAATTTCAGCCACAGATCTCAGCTAGTTCTGTAACTGATAATAAGGAAGCAATAACAGCAACATTCAGATCCTAAGAAGTTCAAGCCAACAAGCAAGTTTTGAAAGCAAGTCATTGAAATTTTGATTTCCTATAATTTTTAAACCATAAACACCTGAGCCAGACGCTAAGTATGATCCTGGAATCATAATAAAGTCTTGTTCTGAAAGAACTCTGACACGACTCCAGATTTTTTTTTTTTAAAGGTAAACTACACTTTGCTCCGTCAAACTATGCTCTTATAACATGTTGTACCCTTGAAATGTCAATTGCATCAATCGCCCATCTGAGCTATTCCATACAATCAAATACCTCCAGATAATGTGGGTTGGTAACAAAGATCACGTAATCAAACATGCACCTAAAAGATATACAAGATTTCAAATGTGAAAGAGGCGTTGCCTGTTAGGAATATTCTTGATCAAATTGTAAAGTACAAGTAAAACTAGTTTGACTCAGTTTAACCATTTAAGGAGGCAACTGATGTAATAAATCGTTTAAACAAGCAAATTGAGATAAGGTCATTTTTCCAGTGGTTCAGTGCAATCTACAATTCTAAATATATTCTTCAAAATTTATTTCTTTCAAAAAGCTTACCAATGATACCACCACCAGCAGCTGCATCAGGTAAACTATCATTTCCACTTCCACTACCAAGTTGACAAGGCAAATCAGCATCACCATAAACACTACCACCAGCAATGTAACTGCCATCATAGAATGTATCCCCACCCCTACCACCATGTCCTGCTCCACTACTTAGACCACTGGGCAAAACTTCACCTCTTCCCAAGCCACCAATACAGCCTGCATATTCCAATCAAGGGAACATGCTTCATACAATTCCACGATAAATCACTTGCAGCTTGTTTCAAGAATCTTGTAATTTCATTAGAGAAAAAATGAAGAAATTGAAGCAGAGACAGTAACAAAAAATAAAGTGAGAGACTGGCAGACAAGGCATACCCAGCCCAGATGCACTTATTTCTCCGGAGGGTTTTACAACTACTGTTCTGACCCAGTGAAAGTGAATAATGGATCCTTCTACAAGGCCTTCAACAATTACATCTTCGACACGACATATCTGCACAAGCAACTTACTATGAACTTTAGTCTAAAAATATGCAAAAAGCTTAAAAGTCGCAACACCTCCCTAGACCAAGCAAATCGAATCTTCAAACTAATGTATAGAAAAGGCTTCACTCAGGCGCAAGTTAATAAGGCTCCCTGGGAGACCCTTTGCTCTTCAATCTTTCATGAGTCTTACCCAAGGCTCAGTCTCATTAAAATAATATTTCTCTACTTCTAAATATACTCTGGTTTTGAGTGTTGAATCTTTTGAATACCTGAAGAGTGAAGGACAATGAAGCATTCACATTGCAATCCTCAGGTGGATGAAGCAATTCCACAGGGCAATCCCGTAGATGACACTGAAGGTTTGAAGCCCTGAAAACAAGGAATTAACAAGCATCTCAAACCATTACAGAAAAGTTGCAGATGAGAAGAGAAAAATATAAAAGGAGAAGAGGGGGAGGAGCCACAGAAAGAGAGGTCAAGTACAATGAAATCTGCACTTACATATAACTTTTACTTGCATTTTGCATGGGCCCTCTTAGAACAGATCCAGGCCCAACCTTCACATGATAAGAGAGAGACTTACATAAGGCTACGTCCCACAAATGATATTCCACAGCATCACATTCTAAATTAAGAAACTAGAATAATGCCGATATAAGCAGCATGGACACATTTCATACCTCGTAAATGCCTAAAATGACCTATGGATTGGAGAACATCATCACAAGGTACATCATTTGTCAACAAATAATAGGCACAAAGGAAAACATGGAGTCTTTACAATAGTTTAGACACATGCTACTAATGATTGATACCACAATCCTATAAAGAGATAACAGAGATGTCCTGATCTCCTACTCCTTCCTAAACTTAAATTCCACTCAACATTTCAACATTTTTCAGCTCTGAGGCTTTTTCAAGAACACAAGACAAGCAAGAAAAACTATAAGGTCCAATCATGATTGACTATGTCCATTTTAACTTCACCCAGTCTTACATTAGGTCCTCCCATACTACCGTTTGCAAATTTCTCATTATTTTAAATCCTTTGGAGAAGAAGTTTTAAGTTTCCTTTTATAAAATATTGCTCTTAGCAATCTAGACAAACAAACTACAAGTAATTATCTCAATTTTAAGTATTGTACACCTGGGAGAGTTGTATTATGGGAAGAACATGATTTGGAATCCAAGGTGGACATACCATGTCTTTCCCACTTTGCATATAACAGCAATGCCAGTTCAAACTGGGATAGAACACATGGCAATTAACTAATCCAGCATATAATTACTTTTTAGTGATTTCTTCCCTTCAACTCTTCCCCTACGTAAATGTTTCAGTTTTTCAGTAACCCTCAAACTCCAATTATTATTCGCAATCCGACAGCCACTTTATTTTTGGAAAAAGCTGTCTTGTTAGAAGAGGAAAAGGTAACTCATATGGTGAACTGAAAACATACAAACAACCTATTTGTGGAAGGAAAGAATAGAAACATTAAGTTATTAATAAGATAGCACGCCTAGAAAGCAATAGTTGATATTAAGTTCTTAAAAAGACAGCATACTTAGAAAGCAATACTTGACAAGGCAGAATACAAGTTCCATAGATAAGGTACAGGGCCTAACCAATTCAACCAGTCACTGGGCCATATAGCGTAGGATTGGACGGACAGTAAAATGAGGTTTTTAGTGTAAAAAGCTAAATTAGGAATAGTAAATGTTTCACCAAAATTTTATCTTTGGGCCTCAAGGTTCAAAGTAAAGCGTGATATTATCTGTTTATATTTCTAAGATTATAAATGCCCGGAGATTATGGGGCTGAGAATTGGCAAGGAGTAGGACCAAAGCAGTGGCTACTACAAGAATGGAAGGTTTCTTAGCTTTCACTTATCCCAAGAATTTGAACTAATGAACGCATTGAAAATTGCTTTTATTTTATTTGTTTGACATCACAGAAAAAACTAGTTAGTTATTGAGGTCCAAATAAAGCAGGAACTAATTAAATCTAACCAAACTGAACTCTCAAATAGGTTAAACTAAGAAGACATAAAAGATGAATCAAGCTGTGCTTCTAATCTGCAAAAAACAGAATCTCTATGGAATTGGTTTCCACAACTTGAAGAAAAAAATTTCTGTCCAGCCAATAGAAAAATGCCAACAGATTAGCTACAGGAAAAACCAAGAAGTGTGCAAATGTAGTTCTACTGATTTAAATTTATTAAAAAAAAAAACTGCATAGTAACAACATTTTGGGAACTAAAGTTCAAAGACCTATCAACAAGTGGAAGCAAGTGTCAGCAATCACAAAGGTATGTTTGAAAACCCTTTTCAACAGCATGAGAATCGCTCATCCATAAACTACAACAAGCCTCAACAGATATGCTTTTTGCCCATTTAGAAAACTTCAAATTGCATCACTTTCCACAAAAAGAATAAAAAGCAGAAAGCAAAGATCTTGGGTCAAATGCAGGACAAAACATCTTCCAACAAAAGCCAGTTCTTCAAAAACAATGTACCCAATGCTTAGGTTATATATGAGGACATGTCGATATTAAAAGCTCAAAATTATTTTATGTGCGCTTTATGTAAAAATAATCTCTGAAACCAAAATCGGTGAAGTATCCTGAGTTCCAAAAAAAGGACAGATAGCTTATGACAAAATAAGAGAAAAATTTTCCACAAAAGGACACGTCACTTATGACAAAATAAGTGAAAATCTTCCAAAAAAGGACATGTCACTTATGACAAAATAAGAGAAAATCAAATATAAACAAGAATTTTTTGATTGGTCAGTTAACCCTCATGGCATGTTCAGAATTTGCTTATTTCAAAATGTTGAAGTGTGAAAGGTGCATATATAGAGAGCCAGTAGTCAAATTAAACATTAATCTGGCAGATAGTTAGAAACTGATGAAAAATAATAGCAGCTCAGATTAATTAAATTAAACACTGTTTGAATACATTTTCTGGACGAATACTCATGGGGGTTAGTCAATATGCAAACTTGAATAGGAAAAGAAATATGATCAAGAGAATGTTCATAATCAAAAATTGCTAAAAGCAAATTAAACCATGCTGCTATAAACACAGGAGACTAGCTTAGTTACAGCCTCCCAGAAGAATGCAATAATTATCAAGATCCTTACACTTATGCTGTAAAACAGTGACAAAACCAAGTGCTGGGCTTCAATAAGATCTCCTGGTCCAGTTAAGTTCAATGAACCCTGTCCATGGACTCCCAAATTTGCATTCGAATGTATCATAGATGATCCCTGGTAGTTAATAAGTTTTATCGAACACAAGAAATTAAAGGTGAATGTAAACAATTTTTTATTTAAGGTGAAAATTAAAAAATTAAATAAAAAATTGGTAGAAATTTACCTTAAGTACCACCAAATTGCTGGCTTCAAGCAAAGATGTTGCAACAATTGCATCTCCATCACCATTTATAAGCATTTTGGAGTTCAACATCAAGTAAATTTTGACAGACATTCGCAATGCCCCATAGATCTATGAGTAACCAAAAATGAAAGTGAAGGACAAGAAATAGGGCTTAAGAAAAATTTACAAAATACACCTAAAAAGGATAAATAACAAATCACCTATAATTGCTGTAAAATGGTAATATATATTAAGGAAGAGCACACATGTCCAACCATTAACAGTGTACTAAGCAGTTCTACGTTGCAGAATTATTCAGAATGATTAGTTAGGACAGAATGGTAAAATGGTGCAAGAACACAAAGCAACAACACCATGAACTTGAAGATATTCAGCATGACTCTTATTGCATGAAAACAAAGTGCCATTTTTCACCAAGTGTACATGCATCGGGTGTGCCCGTGATCACTGTTTTGCATAATCCATATACATAGACAACCACAACATAGAGATTTCTATAAAAGTCATTAAGTTGCCTGAACTGGCAACATAAATGACGGAGCTTTTCCATCTGACTGCAACTATTGAGCATGAACTAAGATGATTCTTCACTCGGGACCCTAAATACAAAAGAATTTCAAAAAAGATTCTTGCAAAATACTAAACTTCTCTCTAACTTCTAAGGAAGAAAAGGCAGAAAAGATAATCATGTTATATGCCACAAGCTCTGACAACTGCATTGAGATTATGCATGCAAGTAGATATTATGAGGTGTCTAAATTAGATTAATGACCATAGTTTATTTTTTGTCAGGACTCCAAATCTTTCAGGCATAAAAATAGTACTGAAGTCATAGAGTTAAAAAAGAGGTACAATCACACTGCATTGTCAATTGAAATAGCAATTACTTCTACTCAACCTGAGGAAGAAAATCTCTGCAAAATTAAGTGATCCCCGTAACTGGGACCTTGACACTTCACTTAATAATAAACTCCAATTTTGGCTGAAAGAATGACGTATTTGTATTTACAAGCACTGACCTAGTAGTCATCTGAGACCTCAACCGAAATGAACTATAAAATTTATGCTTCAAAGAAGAAAATAATGATATCACTTGCCTTAATCACCGAGTCACTCATCAAAAGTTCTTCTGCCATCAACTCAAACTCTGATAAGGCATAATGTACAAGTCCAAAGGTTAAAGCTGCGCCACATGACAAACTAAGTTGTCCTTGAACCTATACAAAGCATGCAGTCTTAAACAATGTGAATGCAAGTAAATGGTTTTAAGTAAAGTCAACACTTATGAGCAAATAAATCAAGAAAAACCACAATGAATAAGTTGTTACTCCAAAAAAGAAATTTCACAGATTCGTCTCACTACTTAAGGTCCAAAAGACTAAGTTTGGCCAGATGATCATTTTGATTTAAACAATGTCATATTTTCACTCAATGGTCTCAATTCTCACTTATTGACCAACCAACCTGATCTCTGATCACCTCAAAGATAACCTACTCTGAAGCGCCCAGCTCACACTCAAATCCACAATTTGACAAGAGTTTGAGGCATTTTGTGGCATGTTGGTGTTTGGATGTCTGAGCGGCAATGTTTTTGTATTAGCATTCATGGAGTGCCACCATGCCAATTGATGAATAACACAAATGGCATGTGTTGCCCCTTCAAGGTGCATTTTAGTGTGCTTTAGCTGCTTTTCAGAAAATTTTCTGTTTTATTTAACATATAGGCAAATGGAAAGGCTGCTAAGTGATGACAAAGGAATTCTCCGGATTTAAACTAGTGCAATTCCAGTTACTACAATTCCAGGCACTAGAATTGATGAAATTAGATATGAAAAGTCAAAGAGTTAACTCAATATCCTACTTTAAATCACTTCTCTTCTCCACATCACTGCCACTCAAATTACAAAGGCGGGGCAATGGCTGAAAAAGCAACTAACGTTTCATGCTCTGGCATTGTCTAGTGACAATTTTAGCCTTTGATGTACATTGCCCAAATGATTTTCTAAGCAATCAGAATTCACCCTGGCAGCTTTGGATTATAGGAAAAGGCTACATAATCCAGACAGAAAGATGCTTGTTGGAAGTCAATGTGGTGATCAATGGCTGATGGAACTTTTCCTGCAGCCTGAGAACGCTGAAAAGATGGATTTCTGGAAAGAGAAAGCGGGAGGATGAAGAAAAAGAATGTATCAAAGAAAGGAAAAGGCAAAAATAGAATAACTTCAAAGAACCACAAAGGACTCTGAAAAAGTACATATGTCATTTTACCAGTTAGTTAATTCAAAAAGTTTAACAGTTCACTATACCAGAAAATCTAATGGTTTTCCATTTGCATATTTAACAAGAGTGTAAAAGGTGCACTTTTGAACCATAAGATGGCAAAGTTTACAATCCTTAACAACAACAGCAACAACAAGAAGGATGTGCAAAAGACAGCAAAACAAAAAATAGAAGCACTTAAAAAAAATTCAAAGGCCTCATAAAAAGTTCAAAGGCACATTTGCCATCTAACCTGTTAGTTTTCATTTGAAAACTTTGACAATCAACTTTACTAGAAAATCTAACGATGTGTGGTTGGTGTAATGGACAAGTGCGTAAAAGGTACACTTGTTTCAACCATAAGGTGACCATGGTTTAGGATCCTTTGCTACAGGGGCGAAAATAAAATTTTATGCAAAAGAAATAAAGCAGGATTATATTAATAGGACAATTTATGGCAATTCGTTCCATTGACAACTGATAGGTACAAGGATCCTTTTCTTCTTTGGGGTTCAGGGTGCAGAAGATGATGAAAGAAAAGAGAATTTCTTTTTTTTTTCCTTTTCCTTTTCCGCCAGACGGAATAAATGAGGATAGATAAAAAATAGAACAGAAGGAAAAGAAAGTAAAACGAAATACAACTTAATTAAGAGTAAATTCTAGGCACAACTGTTCTTTGACTCCAGAACTGGAATAGCATTATTAACAGACATTATTATTCACTATCTTATACCATTTGACACTAAAATGTAATAAGTGCCTCCAAAAACCACAACTTTGTGCTCCAAATTTTGTCCTTAGATTAAGGTAACCTACCATGTCTAGTGTACTCTCATAAACCTACTATGTCTGGCATACTCTCATGAACTTAAAGAGAAAGAAATTTCCCCAAAAATTTTAGCAAACTGCAAACCACAAAAAGTTTTTCATTCAACAGATTACTCTTACCAAATAATCTGCAACTATATAAACAAACCCTAAAGGTGTACATATGCATCATGATTGCTCTAAGCATTTACATTCAGTATTGATATTTTAATTATTAACTTGCAGCTCCAACTAGAATAAGTTTGGCTCATGAAGTCTCAAAAATAATGACCCACGCAAAAAGGAATGAGGATACATCCCTGAATCAACTACACATATGCATCAAATAATAATTCACTATGGGAAAGAATGCAAATAACAGGAAAGAGATTATAAGGCAAACGAATTATTGACTACTCAATGACCTGTACACGACTCCAAAGCAAAGGAACTGTAGCCCGAGCGCGATTCAGAATATAAACATTTGTCCAAAGTGGCTGATTTGGAAATGCTAAAAGAAGCGTGTCAGTATCCGTTGACATATTTTGATTGTTGATCATTAGTCTTCGAGGGACAGCATCATAAAATGTCCCAGCAGCGCCAGCGTTTGTTGGACAGCCAAAACTTCTTCCCCCTGCAAAAATGAGTGAATTGTGACAAAATTATTCAGGTTTAAGTATCAACCTTGCTCTATGAAGCATTTTTAGTAAGTAAACATGCAATGCATGAATTGCTAAGGTTGATGACAAAGACTTTTTGCATGCAACACATTCAGGGAGAATTGATTACTAGCAGAAAATTAAAAAATTTTAAAAAGAAAAAAGGAAGTTACGTCACTCACTGCACTAAAATAGACAGGTCTAAGCAGGGAGCTTACTGAAGAAGAGATGTAATGAAATAATCTATGCATGATACAGCCCTTAAAGAAGGAAACGAATTTATATAGCCAAATGGTGTCTTTGCCAACACACAGATACACACAATAAAACATCTTTGGACTTATTGGTAGATTATGGTCTAGTACAAGTACGCGTGAAAACCAAAGAAACAATCATTAAGTATGTAACGCACTTAAGATATCAGATATCCTATTTAACACAGAGAGACTTATGGAAAAGGTAAAAAGTAATAATAACAAAGATACCCCACTTAACCAACAGTGCTTGTTCATGGTTTCATAATTTTGTATTAATCTTTTCAACAAGCTTATCTGATTATCAGGAAATACTCATTATATGCTCCACTAAAACAAATTATCTAATCACGTCATGCTCTCAACTGAAATCTCTGTTGTTATTCCACTTCCATTGTACTTGTCCAACTATGCCATGTATTGAAATCCTAATATGCTTGATGCATCTCTATAATAGCACAAGGTAAGTTGAGATGGCTTGATGTCCCAAAAATCAGGAATGAGTAACCAGAACAACCAAGATAAATTAGGTTAAGATAATTGGGAAGCATTCAACAGTAGTTAATGAATGCAATTATAAGACAACTCATGAATACCTAATGATGGTAGGAAAATTGTAAGGAAGATCGGAAGGAAATGATAACCTGCAGTTTAAACTTGCACGCAGGATGAAGCTGAATGCAAAAATACTTACGTATAGAAAGTTAGCATAAGGCTTCATCAAAGCATGTTGAGAATGTATGTGTATACCCAAAGAGAGTCGAAGACAGATAAATTGAAGATCCAACTTTTCGTTCATGGTAAGACAAACTTCCATGAAGCAGAGAAATATAAGAAGTGGATCAAATGATATGTCAGGAGAATTTTACATTTCCCTTTGTATGTAATCATGGATCAGGAGAAGGAAAGAAGTAAATATCATAGGGCTGCAAAGAACAATCAAAAGAAAACAATTTGGCAATAAATAGACTAGTGTAAGGAACGACTAAAAGAAAAAGTCATCAGATGAGCAGAAAAACGTTCAGATACGTTTGTCCCTGATTCCCAAGTCTAAAGTAGATGTTTGACAACCATTTTGACCCATAACCTGGTGGGGATTAAAAACAGCTACTATAAGAAAGATATCCCGCTCAATCTAACCATAGATTGCCCCAGTAAGCAATTATGTATAGGTACAGATGTTAAACGAATAGCAAAAACAACCAAATAGTATTAACACCTACCGTGAACCAGCAATGTAGGGTCATCATGCCGGCTAAAAGCATTGACGGAAACTCTTCCCCCTCCTCCCCCAGCAAATCCATTACCTCCAGAAGCACTTATTCTTCCACTTCCTGACCTGCTCTTCACGGTATACAGTTAGAATCATAATATGTTCCAAGCAACCATGTCCACAACCAAATTTAAATCATGCTCAAACTACAAAAACAAATGGCTAGGGAGTTCCAATCCTTGAAGTAGTCAGACTGTGACAACAATGAAGTTTAAGAACTCAATAAACCTAATTCACCATGAGGGTTGTCAAATTCAGGCTCTAGAGCCAGCTTTTGCATATTGACCAAAATTTTACTAGAAAATTGTGCAGTTGAATGTTTTCAAGCTAGATTTTCAGTACTGAAGTGGCCAGGCGAACCAACTTGGGTCACTCATCTCAGTGACCCTACCAAGTGGAACCATATTGGAGTGATCCATATGTAGATAACTTGGCAAGATTTCACCATGATAGCCCTCCCATCTGTAACTAATGCTACCCAACACATTACAAATTTGCAAATGATACAAATATTTGCCCTTTCTTGTTCTCGGACTTTTCTCTAAACAAAAATGTTGACTACTACTCCAAGTATCAAGATGAACCTACTTAGACGTGGCAAGTGCTAAGGTAAGGGGAAGTGTAACACCCCCCCCCCCCAACAACAACAAAAATCCAACACCTTCCATGTACAAAAAAGTGGAGAAGAATTACATTAGTCAACACCCAAAAAATGATATTGGGGGTACAGAAAAGGAAGAAGAATTACGTTACATTTTCCGAGTCTTGACGTAAATGCTGCCACCAGAACCTCCTCCTCCTTTAGTCCCACCATCCCCTCCATCCGCTAATAGAACTCCGCTAACATCCACACTATCCTTCACTTGTATCCAAATCCTCCCTCCACCTTTCCCTCCGTAATCATCCTCCTTACTAGTAGTACCTCCTTTACTCCCATAACTCCACGGCTCCATCAACCAGTCCCACCCATACGCATCCCCTCCCCATACATCCTCAGGTAACTTCTTATTATCCATCACACAACTTGCTCCTCTCCCTCCATATCCCCCACCGGCACCCTGAGCCTCAGTCGGAGTCCCTGTGATTATGGATGGCTCACCTCCCAATGCGGTTGAATTAATCACCGATCCAGTAAATAAAGTAGCATTTCCGGCCTCAATATAAACGGAACCAGCTACAATCTTAGCGCTAGGGTTTAATCTAAATTCTCCGGTTATATTAACGACAATCGAGCAACCTGAGCTGGGGCAAGCTAGAACTACCCCTTGAAGAATGAATAAATTGCCATCTCCAGGAACATAAATATCATTGGTGAAGTTCAAGCTATAATTAAGCTGGCAGGTGGTGTTGAGTGAGCCGATACCTTTAAGATCTTCGCATGATAGCGGGGGAGGGTGAGGCGGTGCAGGCGGCGTCGGTGGGGAATAATCGCGGTGAAATAAGTCGGAGGCTGTGTCGTAATCGATAATCGAGAAATCGGAGGGAGAAGCGGACGCGGGAGGAAAGCTAGGGTTCAAAATTGTAAGGTGAAAAGTTAGGAGAAATGTTAAACGGCGAAAAAATGGCGGCGGCATTTCGAACAATCGTCGGAAAACTAGAAGGTGCATAAAAGAGAGGTACGATGCGCATGAACGTTATGCATGTATTTTATATGCATGCAGCTTTATGAAGCAGCGGTATGTCTATAGAAAATCGTCTCTGGGATTGAGAGGGGGTGGATGAATGTTGAATGGTGGTGGTGGAGAAAGACGAATGGCAGAGAAAGGACGATGGGTGGAGAGAAGGCGACGAGTTCGGAATCGGTGGACACAGCAGAGAGAGGCTTCGAAAGAGGTCATGCTTGTGCGCTTCGCTTGATTTCTTTTGGATTCCTGCAGCTTGCCCAGTCGGAGTAAAACCGACCCGCTTCCACTGTTTGGATTGTTTGCGGGGAATTGCGGCCCAGTTTGCCATGGATCTTACCACATTTCCACTGCTCCATTTACTCACAAGTTTGGGGCGGGAACGATCGCATTCTAAAATCTGAACTGTGCCCTCGATTTGATTTTTTTTTCTTTTTCTTTTTCCTCTTCAGTAGAAGATTCCAAACCCTACGAGGGAAAGTTTGAGAGTGAGATCATGCATAATTGCATTTGATTAATGTTTTTACTAATTAAGTCAGTTGTATGCTTGTGTTTGTGAAGGCATGTGTAATTGCCACTAATAATTGCATCGCAAGTCATAACATCTATGTTAGTATCAGTTTTTTTGCATGTAATGTAGACAACGATACAATAAACATAGACGCATAAACAGCAAAAGTAGATATTAAGACATTTAAAAAAAAAATAACAAATTTTACAATCGATTAAAATTTATGCTTAAAACTCAATTCCAACGATCAAATGTCAAAGTATTTATTTCATATCATGAAATGTTCTCTCTATTGCCAAACTGTGATCGTAAAGAATCTCAATCAAGATTTTTAAATAAGTTGTACGGTTTTGTGACAATGATCTATAAAATTAATATTTTTGAATTTAAAGAACGTATATCATTTGCAGCAAAAAGGAAAGTCAGATTGTCAGGATTAAAAATTATGTAGTATTAACCGTTTGGATTAGCTGTTTTTGAGGGGTATTTTTGAAAAATTTTATTGTAACAGGCAGAGTTTGTTTTTAAAGTATATTTTGGGATTTGGGATATTTAAAAGTAGAAGAGTTTCTAGAATATATTTTGAGATATTTTTTAAAATCTTAAACTAATTTTTAGATTACCTTTTAAAAATTTCTTATTGTATTTAAAAAACTAATTTTTGAAAAACACTAACAAAAGGAACAAACTAAAAGTTGCGACTATTATACAACCCACACAATGACAAGTTTCCCCTGTAGCTAGCTTTAGATTGCCTTCCCATTTGCCCTTTGCATATTTTAAATAAATGAAGTAGGTAATCATGCATGTTATCATAATTTACTTGACTTTTAAACTCTTATCAATAATGGCTGGTCTTGATGAATGAAGCTTTTATTAAAAAATGCTGTTGGAGCTTTAATAAGAATAAAAAAGCTAAAATTGTAAATGCTTCGATTTCATTAATGGTACGGTGGAAAAAATACAATAAAGCGAGTTGTACACAAATTTTCAAATGAATGGTAAAATAATCTGAGAAGGCTTCTGCACATCTTCTCGATACAGAATCCATCATCCAATCTCCTGCTTCCACTGTTTTTCTTGCAGTTGATATCCTACATCTCGATCTGTTCACCACCTGAGTTTTGCTGGGAAGTACTGCACCCGATCAAAAGTTTCGATGTTAAATGCAAGCAAAACACAGAAACTGCTATATTTGATAGCTTCAGCTGAAGAAACTGTTGTTTTATCAGGCACCCACCTTTTCAATGAGGGAGAGGTAATATGGCTTCACCTTTTCGACATCAATCCGGACTTTGCTTTTGCTGTAAAGGTCATATTTGCTGCACAAAACATAGTACCAGATGGGGTTAATTATGATTTTGTCGTACGAAAGAAATCAAGATCCCATTGTGTTGTATAGAGAGGAAAAGGGGAAATTTACTTGAAAACTTTGAGCCACCTCAAGCTCTCATGATCCTCCTCATTCATCAAGTGCGTGTATGCTCCTGCCCTGTGCAGTGCTGCAGAACATTCACAGCTCAATGAAGAAACAAAACCGAACCTCCTCCATCGATCTAACCACCCTACCTAACTAAGAAAATGTGTAGAATTTTCAGTGTAAATTGAAAAAAGACTGCTTACGGTAAAAAGAGTGATAGCGGATAGTAAAAAGAGCTGCCGGCGGCAATGTTGTTCCGTTTTCCTTAGCGACCTGCATATACATATATATATTCATAAATAAATAAATAAGAACTTCGTTAACCATAAGATGCCAAAGAAAATAAACCAAGAAAAAGGTCTCGAGCTCCGAAGATGCATGATTTCATCAAGCATACCAAATACATGTAATCATCGTGGCCCCAAGACATAACCACGTTTTCCAATCCACATCCCTCTTCATAAATCCCGTTCTTGGTGCTGTAGGAAGGGTTGCTGTGATCGGGATTGTCCTTGAAATACTGCAAAAAATTAGAAAAAAAAAAGTGATTATTTTCCATTTGTTTGTGATCCAATTCATAAGTTACCTAACAATAAATGGCACGGCATGGCAGGTTCAGTTTTAGAAGAGCACCTTGTGGTGGACGATGGATTCATCGAAAGCACAACCAAGAGGAAACGTGTCACCTGAAAAGTGTTGAAGGCAAATGTACTTAGAGCACTGTGCTTATAGAAATTTTACAGCTGAAAAGTATAAATGGTAACGCTGATGATTATTATTCAGATTCAGACGGCACTCACCAACAACAGCCCACTGCGGGAGCTCTCCAAAGGTGGGATGCAGAAGAACTTTTCCAAGATCTGTTGTTGTCGAAGGGAAACCACAAAAAAAAAAAAAAAAAAAAACCTTAATTATAGATTTTGCAATAGTAAGATGGAGATCAAGAGAAATTGTAGTGAATAAGTCAATGATAAAGCATCGCAGTGTATCATTTGAGAGCAGGATCCGAATGTAATAAGTAGGCAGATTATATACCGTGAATGAGTCCCGTCAAATGCAACCAATCCTCATTAGGGTAATCTTTTCTGATAGCCTCCGCAGTCTGCAGCAAATGTTCAATTTGGGGCTCATCCAAATCAGGATCGCTGTCATCAACAACATCATTGAGAAGTTCACAGCACTCCCATATGCTCATTTCTGCTTTATCCAACTTCGCATACCCTTCCCTCATCCTCTTCACCTGCCCCATTTCCATGCAGACTTATTACTACTACTAATCTTCCCTTCATAATAAATAATAATAATACCTGAAAATCTCATCCTCTGAACTCGATCTCCTACGTACATTAGTTATTAATAATCCCGACTTGATTTTCACTTCGTGGATTATTGACAGTATACGCGGAATAGTACTATTAATGCTTACAAAGTCGTAGGTCTGGTTTATGTGGTTGACGCGGTAGAATTCCTCCACGGTCTTCTGCCTTTCACTTTCTGCATTATAGTCCCTGCAAACATATCGGCATGCCACAAAATTAAATTTGTGTTTTGATTAAAAAAAAAAAAATTTTTTTTTTTTTTTGAATATATGTGATCCAGACTCCAGAGAGGAGCAGTTGTTTTAGTCTCCAGAGAAAACAATAATATCAAGAAGCAAATTTATACTGTGATCTTCGAGGTACAAACAACACCGACTGACGCTGCAAGTACAAACCTAAAGGAGTGACCAAAGGAGTTGATTTCTGGAGCTTCAAATCCGTCTGAGGTCGTTTTGGGCATAACGAATCCTCCATCCAATACAAGTTCATTAATGGTGTCGTGAGGGATATTCTTTTCACCCACTGGGAAACCTGCTGGTTTTAATTATTTAAGGATGAGAAAGGCAAATGCAAGCGGTACAATTAATTAATAGGCCTCCAATGGCATGAAGGATTATTGAGAAAGCACAGGAAATCAAGAATTAGACGGAACAACCCGGAAAAAAAAGAAAGAAAGAAAGAACGAAATACCGAGGTCAGGCTGCTGCTCAATGAGGATCGTCATATTCCCACGAACAGTTGAGTAATATGAGCACAATCACAAGAAAAAGAGAACAAAAGAGTGAAGAATGGAAATCACTGGGATGCATGATGAGGGCGGAGAAATGAACGTATTTATACAGTCGGACAAAAAAAATGTCCTTGCTTGGGAATTGGAGTGTTTGGAGTCCTTAACTGAAAAACCACTCGGAGTCCTTGACTGGAAATTTTTGTTGTTCCAGCTATTTTATTAGGCTTCTATCCCGCCAAATCGGGCAAACTTCTGGTGCAACCTGACCTCGTTTATCTTGAAGAGAAAACAAACGGAGGATGAGTCAGGGATACGTGGATATTAAATCTAATCTGCTGCAAATACGGGGCCGAGTGACGCGGAACCCAGTCATCTCCTACGATGTTTGGACTTGTTTTTTTGGTGGGAACGGCGACCGTTCGTCCGACTGAGCTGGGAAATTGCAACTTGGTGTCATCTACATCATCATTTTGACCCCAAAGTACGCGTTATCGACGTCCACAAACTCGACACGTCATCGCTCGGCTGATACAAAAGTCAATCCGTCCAGCAAATTGCATTATTCAATTCAGCCGGCCTGCACCCAGCGTCCTAATTTTAATAACCGACACACAACTGTACCTTGATGATTCACAAAGTTACCAAACAAAAAAAAAAAGGCTATGAATTAAGAAGCAATAACTTGCTTCAAAAAAAAAAAAAAGAAGCAATAAATATAGGTTGAGGAACCCTTAATTAAAAATATTCCATATGCAAACCATTATTGACACTTAGATAATTTGATTTTGGTTTTTTTAAAACTCTTCCCTTAATAGCTTTATAACATGTAATAATAAACATTAATTATATAGCATCATTTACTGAGAATTTGCTCGTGCTGTAATAATTATATTAGTATATTACTCCATATACAGAAAATTTTGTAATAACGCATTTCTACATGGAGCAATTTAATTGACTCCCAATGACTATAAAAACCAACAACTTATTTTGATTATATATTATCGCAACTCACAGATTTTCATTTTTTTTTCTCACCTAAAAGAGCAGCACAGGTTTTCCCAATTAACTGGTTCAATCATCATCAAATGGAAGGGGGATAATGCTTCATTCTTCGTCGATAAAATTAGGTATATTCTTATCTAGCAGTTTAATTTTAGGATGTAATATTGATTATCTATTCGTTTTAACCTATAGTTCTTTTTCTCTTTTTAAGGAAATAATCTAGAATCAATTGGTTATTTTCTTGCGGTATATATTTCAACTCATCTTTCACGTATGAAAATGTTTTGCCTAACTTTTATACTTTTCCGAATGAGATCTCTAATTTTGTGTTTTTTTTGG